TTCTAAAGCTCTCAGTGACCTCAGACGGCTCTTTCTTATTCTTTCTCTCTCTTTTTTCCACTGTCTCTCTCACACATAAGCTACATATACAAATTGCACACATTGTAGCCTAAAGGCTGTGTGAAACACTAACCTGAGCAACCACATTCACCGTCTCCAACAGCGTGTGAGGAAGAAGACGCAAGCACTGGTTTCAGGTGTCTGTAGCAAAATGTTCTGAAAACAAAGATAGTGTCGCAAGCCTAACAATACTAAAGGCAGTGAAGCATGTTATAGTGTGTGTGTGTGTGTGTGTGAGGGCAGATGTAAAAGAATCCACAGAGCTGAATATGCACTGTATAAAATCAGTTGGGCATGTTTTTGTACAGTGCCCTGAGGTGCGTGCTGTGAACACTATCTTATCTGTTGTATAGTTGGTTGAACGAGCTATCAGATTTTAGCATGCTGATTTCCTTTAGATAGTCACGGTGCTCCGCTGGAGGTGTCAATGGTTAGTTAGGTGTTAAATCAGTTCAGTTCAGTTCAAAAGCAGTTCTACACAAGTATGCTAAATCCCCATGTCTTCTTAAAGCAATACGATTGTTCAGGTTAACTCAATTACCCTCTTATGTTAAATGTAGCTAATCATCCAAGCCTTGTGGGCCATCTGAAGTTTGCTTCTTTATTTTTTACACCAGAGCTTTGAGGCTAATCTAGCTAAGGAGGAATGCAAGCTGCATCAGTTATCTTTGTGCCAGCCTAAATGATCACACACTTTCCCTTAAACTGTGCTGAGCTGTTAAGTGATCTCAATAGATGTGCATATCGCTGTTGTCGGAAGAAAACCTCATGTCTCCAAAATGGTAACTTTATAGGAGAAGGAAAAAACATACTTTACTATTAATGTACGTCAATGGAACCAGACTTTTTCCCCCCAAGTCATTTTTGGCTATTTCTTTTGGTCTATTCTACATGAAATTTGCACTCAATGTAAAGGGCAACAGGCTTTTTCAAATGATGTCAAAAACTGAAAAACGCCAAAAATGGAGATACAAGGTTTTCTTCCGACAACAGCGACATGTGGTTTCTGACATCGTATATTTTGGTGTAAAATACTTTTAAGTCACTGTTAAAAATTACAGTACAGAATATTTTAAGTTTTTAGATAAAACAAACACTCAATGGACTCTCAGTAACATGTCAAAAACGTATGAGGGTTAGGGTTAGGTTTTGGGTTGAGGTTAAGATTAAGGTTAGGATTAGGGCCAGGATTAGGGTTAGGTTTTGGGTAAGATTAGGTTTTGCGTAATGGAGGTAACATATTAACAATACATCTACTTAATGTAAGTAATATATCAACAGAACATCTACAAGATATTTTCTTCAGTGTATTCAGATGCTTCACTACTGCTCCTTCACTGATATGTTGTTGATATGTTACTGATAATCTATTAAGAGTTTATTAATCATCTACAAAGGACCACTCAAAATAAAGTGTTACTTATATTACCTATATACAGTTTTTCTTGCACACTTGTATTTCTAATGTAGGCCTACAGCTCTAATGTGCTCCCGCAGCTGTCTGGAGACCCATGCAACAAATCTAGCTAGTGTTCGACAGCAAATGCTTGAATGTTCTTGCATGTTTTCTTGCAATTTTGATGCATATTTTGTAAAATGCACCATTTTATCCTCCTTTTTTTTGTACAGTATAATTAATTTTTACATTATCATGTTTAACCTTTCTTTATCCCTTAGAATTAAACAAACTGGTTTTAACTTCACTATAGGGGCTAAACTAAACTGTTGTAGGCTGAATAGGTGGATGTATGTAAATGTGCTGATTCTTGTGATCACAGAAACAATGAATTCAAAACAGTCTTTTTTGCAGCATGGTTTCCATATATAACTGAGTGGACTGGGGAATGAATGTATGTATTGAAACTTATTTACAATGTTTACGTATAACTTCAAACTCCTTTATTTAAAAAAAAAGTGAGGAAAATTCGTTTTTCCATGATATGTGCCCTTTAAGGAATACACTACATTACCGCAATAGATTTACACAAATTGTATACTGTGTACATTTACAGTAACGGAAAAAAGGTAAATTTGAATTTTGGCTGAATGATCACTTTAATCACTTCAAATCCATAGAGCTGTTGTTCAGAGTTTCATTCTTCACTTTCATAAAATCATAACTCACACATTAGCATAGTAGTTACTAAATAATTCATATTAGTTACTGAGTAATAAGTCTTACATGTGGTGAGACAGAAATTCAGAGGAATATACTGGAGAAAAAAAGGGAATAAAAGACAGCCCATCATTTCTAGCTTGTTCTAAGCTCATGCATGATTCAGAGTGCTGAGCTCATGCCGTTATGATAACTCTCTCTGCAAATCCCTCTTACTGTAACAGCTCTTCCACGATTAGCACTCCATCTCTGCATATGTGCATTAAGTTATCTAACCTGCCATCTAGGCGAAGCTCAGGCTTTCATTGTGAACAGCCTATTATTTTCCAGATCTCTCCTGCCTCTGTTGCATCACCCAGTTTTGTAATCAGTGTCAGTCTTTTATGGCTAGCAAGGATTATGATTAATCAGGTTTTTATTTATTTTTAGCATCCAATTTGGGAACTGCACATGAGGAATAACACTAGGGCTAATACTCTGCCAGTAGCTGATTGGATGTTTGCCTGTTATGCCGTTTTTAAAATTCATTTTTTTAACAATTATTTGATTTTTTCCCTCTTAAATAGTTTATTTTTGCATTGATCTTGTTATTCTGTGTCTCTGTATGTATTTTGTATGTATATCTGTGAGATTTGTTTGACTTGCTGTGGGTGAACTGCAGGCTAATGTGTTGAAACGTGTGAAAACAGTGGTGTTTAAATAAAGTCCAGCAGATAATGGGCATTGGTGATGCCTGCCCTGCTATAAAGGGGTCATTATGGGCACCGCTGCCCGAGGGAGCCAGCAGGACTGTGAGTAAACAAGTTAAAGGGCAGTTAGGACAGCAGACTGCAGGCCACTGAGGGCATGAGCTCAGCTGTGACGTAGTTTATAATGATGCAGTGATGTAATCTACAGTTGACGTGATAATCCATGATTCAATAAAGTGTCCAAAACACACGAAACATGTAGAGCTTGTGTTTGTGCAGTAAGCTGTGTTCATTTGTCGAGCACCAAGTAAAAGGGAACCAGGGGAGTAGACTAATCTGTGTTGCAGCACTTGGTGTTGCCAAAGATTGTGTAGACACATTTGATTCTAGAAGATACGTTCATTAAAAAAATAAACTTAAAAAAAGGGAAAAAAATTCCATTGTTCAGTATATAGATTTTCTGCACATATTCTGGCTGATTCTTGAGCCACAGTGGACAGTAGATGCAATAGTAGATGTGGATATGTGCAGTAGGGCTTGACCAATAAATTAGTTGGCCATAATACAAACTGACGATAAAGGGGAAGTCCGCTGATTTTCAAAAATTTCTATATAATCCAGTCATTCAGATGTTAACTATATGATGTTAACTATAAGTTTTATTTGTAACGTTAAAGGTAAAATAGTGGCAAATAAAAAAAATCTTTGGGGACTAATTTGCCTTATGACTGCTCTGCCATGAATGGATTTTTAAAATTATGTTTTAGGTCACAACGTTACATCAGAACCATTGTAGTTAAAAGTCTCAGATATCAGGCAATGTGTTCATAACCATTTCATGTAATAGCTTTCTGTGAGGGGAGCTTTAAGAGGCATCGAACTTCAGACGTCTGTTTCCTATTCCTTGCATTGTGAACATTTGTGTGTGAGTAAGTTTCTCTAGAACAGCATTTCATATCAACATGTGAATGATTTTGTTTACATCATAACCATTTAATTATGCAGAAATTTTGAAATTTTAGTTTTCAACAGAAAAAACACTGTTATGGTTACAATAACAAAACCATGTAAAATGCATCCAAATCTTTAGGTTAACATGTTGCTGCATGACATTACTGAGCAAGATTTTGTAAGTTTCTGCTGCTGATGGCTGACAGTCAAAATCTTTATTCTCCAAGTACCAAATGTGCAAGTAATTTCTCCAGATGCAGGTGTAAACATAAAATTAAATGGAGGAAGTTGTTTGCCATCCAACTTTTAATGTCTCTAAGGCAGTTAAATAGGGACAGCTGTTGTCCCCAGGTCTCAGTGGAAAGTACAACTGCGTATTATCATCATAAACAGGGTAAGATATGTTATATTTTTGAATAATGGAACTTCACATAAGCATGTAAAGAGAGAATACAATTGGGCCTAAAATAGAACCTTGCAATACCCCACAGTTGATGGATGCGGTAAAGAGTAAAGGTCTTCAAGGGTGGAGAGCCAGCAGTGGATGATTTTCTCTGCACATCACACAGTCACTGTAGTCAGTATAGTACTGTTTGACTAAAACCATTGGATCTGATTCATATTTTATTTAGATCAAATTATATTGGCCAATATCAGTAACTGTGTTTTTTTAGCTCTGTAAAATCGGTATCGGTCACAATTTTTTTTGTATCGATCATGTCTAGGTGTCCTTACTGTGGACTGACTGAATGCAGGTAGTGGAGAGTATATAGTTTACACTCTTAAAATAAAGCTTCAAAGGGCTTTTTGAGTGATGTTATAGAAGAACCACTTTTGCTTGCCGAAAGCACCGTGCTTGACGAAGAGATTAATGAATATGAAGAATGTTTTAAAGGCTGAAAGTACCTTCTCGTAATATAATAGTGTTTTAAAGCCTCTTCTGATAATATTTACATGGTGGTTCTGTAAACTTTACAAAGGTTCTACACATTCACACATCCCCTTTACAAATATGGTTCTCCGAAGAACCATCCACTGAAAGGTTCTTTAAGGAACCAAAGTGGTTCTTCTGTGGCACTTTTCAGGTGCCTTTATTATTAAGAGTGAATGTTCAACAGTATTATTAGTGACCATAAATGTATAAGTGGCAGTGTTAAATCTGGCTCTGAATGTATGTGTATCAGGTTTGGAAGAGAGGGGTCAGCTCCCCCTGTCCACTTTATTTAGACCCAGCCAGCCCCTAAAGAATGACCTCATCCCCTCCCTTATGAGCTCATCTCACACACTGCTGAGAACAGCCTGGGGTAAGTGTTATGTCACAGACACAGTGAGAGAAATACTCTGGCCTCAGTGCAGGAAGATCATCTTTAAACACTGCATGCACATCATGCACTGGATGACATGGAGGCCACACAAATACACACACACACACACACACACACGCACACACACACACGCACACACACACACACAAGAAGCCTATGTAATATTATAATAGTGTCCTTATTCCACACTCATCAGACAGGCTTTACAGATTTGTCTCAGTTGTCCTTTTGCTCCATACAGTAGAATTTGATGACAGATTCAAGAGCGCACTTCACTGTAGTTATTTAGTGTGTTACCAAGTACATGAGAGCATGACCTTAATCTTAAAATAAGCATATAGGTGTTCTTCACGTCATTCAGCTGCAGGTTATTCTTCTTAGGAGAACCTTTTTGTAATCAGTAAGGTCCTGTCTGGCACTCAATAGTTCTCTAAACTGTTTTTGTCCCAACTTGGGGACACATCTTAATTCTCCTAAGACCACCATGGCATATTTGCTTTCAAACACTTTTAATAAATATTGTTAAATTATAATTCACTTGTAGTTCATTAACTCAGGCGAAGAAATTGTGCCCTCAGTCAATACCACATCTGTGTTCATAAGTAAATGATGATTTATTATTATTTGAATGAAAAGTTATTGTTGTGGGTTATGCCTTGTTTGGAAGAAAAAAAATCATTTCATTTTTGTCATGTTTTAGTTGTTTCTTGAAACCAGTGGTCAAATGTAGGGCTCAGCCATTATGAAAATATTTTGGCCAATACCAATTTTAAAGGATCCACATCTTGGAATATATACCCATTTTCATCTTTATTCATTAGATTTAGCCTGCAGCAGTGTGTCAGAGTGTTTCTGCCCAGACAACTCTCAGACTGCTTTTTGAACAAGGCACAATACATGGCAGCAAATCTGAACAAAGGTAACTTAAATTTGTCAGTCTTAAAGTAGCACAAAACAGCCTGTGTAGTTCAAAGGGATAAAGAGAGGTTGAACAGTGTTCATATGAAAATAAATTACGAATAGTACATTAACCATACAAACAGTATGCATGGTCCCCAAAGAAATGGAGCTAAATACAGGACAAATGTAGCATTTGGGGCTAGAAAATGTGTAGTTGTATTGCGTTTGTTAAACAGTGTTTTACTCACCGATATGTGTGTCAGTTCACACTTCTTAAACTCAAATAAGCAACAAAAACTATATACGTTGTAGCACTTGCAGTGCAACTACCCAGAATTTTATTTATTTATTTTTTTTATTTATTTATTTTTTTTGTGCATAGCACCATTAGTTTTCTTCATAAAAGGGATATAACATGTTTGCCCCAAGCTAAAGGTTAGGTTATTCCAACCATGATGATGTTTTGTGTTCAGATTCACCAGTTCAGCCTGCGTTGCTGTCATGGAGTTAAACAGGGGTGGCTCAAGTACTAGTGGCACTAGTTTCTAAAGTTTCACCTTGTTCTGGTGAGTTTGTGAGTTCAAATCCCAGCAGTGCTGACCAAAAAAGTCAGTAGATATCTGCATGTTTTTCTGCCAAAGCCAGTAATACTGCAAGCTGTCCGTATAAATCAATGTTATCAGCCAAACCAAGTATCAGTCAGGCTCTACAAAAAACATAAAAGTGCATATTTAAACCTGCCGATACGAAATGTAACTTCTAATGTTCGTCTAATTAATTTCCTAACTAACTTTATGAATGTGTGTAATAAATCATTATGCAATGTAACTTGAATGTATAGCAAAACAACAATAGGTCTAGACTTCTGTGGGTTAAGAAAGCACTGATATAATAGGCCAAAGCTTTCATTAACCCCACAGTGGTCTTTTGTAAGAGTGTAGGGGGATAATTAGATTACCTCTGGATGGAAGTTTTCTTTTGGATAGATCTTGAACCAACATCTATTACCTGATTCCTTATCTTAACCATTACAAGAGAAACAACAAAACTGATCTCAGGTAATTGGAAAAGTTCTGTCAACACAGGGCAAGTGCTTTTGAGGTCTGCTGTGTCTGCCATATAGTGTCTCATTGCTGGTTTGCAGTGAGTGGAGTCACTGAGGTGTTAATGGATGGAGGAGAGGTGTCTGCAGACTGGCATTTAATGCCCATGCAGAGTTCAGCCACTAATTCACTCCACTTCCAGACAAGTGCTCAGCCATTGCAGTCTCAGATTTTGAGCTATATCCTGCAAATTTTGGCCAGTTATATTAACCTCATGAGTTTTCCAGCATTCAGAGCTTATTTAAGATAATACATCTGCCATAAGAAGCATCATTTTCACCAATGGTTTGAATAACAACATGTAAAATGTACACCAGTTTCTTTATATGCAGAACATTATTAATAAGGAAAAGTGATGGGTCTGAATAATGTTATTTGAGAAACCCTGTGCTTACTTCAGTTGGATCAACTGTGGAAATTAGGGCTGTCAGTATTAATTATATTATATTTATATATTTGTTTATTGTATGCAGCTATTAAAGTACTAGCCTAAAGTGGCCAAACTGGCCAATTAGCTTTCTAATGTCTTCACTGTCGACACATACTAGCTTCCGGCTGACGGACTCACTGCTACCCTCCAAATGTATTATATCACCAGTAAGTTATTTATTTACTTTATTGGAAAATTATACAATATGAAGCCTTTGAAAACCTTAATTTGATAAAATATAGACATATTTTGCAGTGTATGTAAATGTATATATCCACTGAATAGAAGACCCAGCAGGAGAATTAAAAATATTTATTGAGAAGGTAAATTGTTATCGCAGAATTTTATTTAACTGAGTATTTGTGATAGCCCAAGTGAAGGTTTTGATTGCTTTAGACACAGTTTAAATGTTCTGCAATGAATAGTGTACTTTTAATACTTGTTATGTATGTTGCTTTTGGGAAACTGGAATCTTTTTATCTTCGTTATCTGGATCAGTTGAGCTATATAACACTCCTGTAGCTTTCTGTCCTGGGATAAGAGCCAATTTTGAAACTTTGTTGGTGGCATTTCTTGCCTTAATTTGACACAGTAGGTTAAATAAGAATTGCATGTTGATAATGGTCTGTGATGACTCAAGACCTGATCCAGCATGATATCATTCAAGTTCAGTCAGGAGGAGGACATTTTTGTGCTATAATATGTGTCTGGTTAACAAGTGTCCAGTTTTATGTTCAGTAAACTTGGCTCTGGGGACACATCAAAACTGTTAGTTATTTTGTACAGTTAGTTTACAGCCCAGACTGTTAGTTAGAGTGGTATTGATGTGAAAGTAATCTATACTGTTACTAAACATGGACTGTTCTTGCAGAAGTGTTGACAGTTGTAAATGCTACACTGCTGTTACTGCATGTAGGATCTGTAAACATCACACTGCGATATGAACAGCAGCTACAGCATAATTGCTCTGTAGCAATAGAATTATAGAAATATAAACGCAGACCTGATTTGATTTGTCTTCCGCTCATGCCACATTAAGCTCCTATATTATGAGAAATGTTTTTGTTTTTGCTACTGCTCTGGTCACATGATGTTTAAATGGCAGGCTCAGTCTGAAGTCTCCTGTCCACTGCAGATGAAATCTCCAGGATGTGTGAGGTGGACGTGTCCCCTGAGCCTGGCAGCCCCACGCTGCTCAGCGAGTCTGCAGACACCTACTGCCAGGCAGATCGCTGGCACCGGCTCCGCACCAGCGTCCGAAAGCTGGAGTTCTGGGAGGACTTCAGCGCTGAGCTCATAGGAAGTGGCTTTTTCTCCAAGGTCTACAAGGTACCCAGCATGTATATATTCCACAGCACGAGTCAGACACTCTAAAAATAAAGGTGCCTGAAAGGGTTCTTTGTGTAATGCCTTAGAGGAACCATTTTTGTTCCTTTAAGAACCTTTTTGTGAATGTGTGAGTTTGAAAAATGTTTATAAAGTTTAAAGAACCTCCACATGATATAAAGGTTTTAGAAAGAGCCCTTAAATTGGTCAAGAACCTTTACATTGTGTGAGGGTTCTTTATACCTTTAAATGATTCTTTTCTCATTTTCAAACGTGGTTCTTTAGGGAACTAAAATGATTCTTCTGTGGCATCTGTGGCACCTTTTTTTAAGATTGTCGGTTTGGGCACACCAACTCATGATGGTCTTTTCTTTTTTGTACTGTTTTCTACATTTATAAATAATAGTGAAAACAGCAAAACTATGAAACAACACATGAAACAAAACAGCCAGAAAAGTAGACAATGCTTTGTCTTGACACCAGATGGATCAGAAAAAGAAAAAGCATAATAGCCTACTTTTAGATAGTCATCCTAAGTGAAATGCTTCAGTTAAAGCTACACTATGTAAGTTATGGGGATTTGGAGACCTCTCTGGTAGAGATGTGTAATTGCACACAACATATAAAACATTTTCTAACGTCAGTTGTGCTTCGGCCACCCAAGTGGATGAATCTGATAATTGCATGCGTTGACCAACTTCACTATTTACATTTGCCTTAAAAACACATTTTAAGCATTTGAGCATAAACCTTACCATCAAAATGACTATAAGATTATGAAAAGCATATGTTCAGCCTGGTATGTGCAAACTTTTGACTACTATTTAAGATGAGAGGTATTCTGTATGAAGCGGCTCCTCTTTTTGCTCCACAGGGTATGTATTATACCTCTTTATAATGCAAACTATAACTGCTTTGACCCCTAAGTGTCTTCGTCTGATGTAGCTCCCTTAGTAAAATCTAAAGCAAATCAGCTGCAGAGTCTGTTGAAATGCTTGAGTTAAAGTGTTTTGTTCCACCAGTTCAGACATTCTAGAATAAAGGTTAGCGTTGCTTCATGTCTTCATTCCTTATTCTCAAGAGTGGTTCACTGGCCTTTATCCTCCAAAAGCGCTCCTTTGAATTACGGTGTGGAAAGACTGAGAGCGTCATGGCTGTGTTAATCCTAAAAACAGCACTTCAGGAGTACATGACATGCTACAGGTTCCTCAGCATGTCATTTCATGCAGATTTTTCACTGAACAAAGGTCTATATAAGATGATGTCATCCGTTTGTAACACCCACAGCCCTGGTAGCCGCTTTGTTGGAGACATGGGCAAATTACACAAAAACGTAACACATGGCCATAGGTACTTATTTTCTTTGCAAACCGGTGTGGATTTCTGTATGAAAAACTTGACTTCAAAACCTCTTTGCGTCATCATCGGCACCGCATGAGATGTCTTGTTCATCCATGGCTTGACAGATCCTTGTGGTGCTGTGTATCGTACATCTATGCAAAGGAGTCACATCAGGTCACAGGTGTGACCACTGTGTGCTTCCTTCCATTGTTAACATGCCAGTGGTGAGATGGAATGCAGATAAGAATGGAAAATGGCAATAGGCAATGCGCAGCATTCAAGAGGCTCCACTGCATGCTTTCACTGTGACCGTTCTCACAACAGGAGCCAAGAGGTGACGACAATTGTCGATAATTTTTTAGAGGACATTTCATTCTCCAGAGGCCTTGCCCTCTGAGGAAACAACAAGCAACAAGGTCAGTTGCTTTCAGGAAGAGAACTGTCATTTTTTTGGTTTCTCTTTCACAATAACTACATTTACCTGAATGGCCAAGAAAACAAGAACATCACAAACAACATTTAAAGTGAAAGCAATCCCTCTGGCTCAATATTATCTTAATGCCAGAGCGCACCACCCCAACAATCATCAAAATTCTAATGCTGGTCGTTGTTTTAGAATGTAGAGGAACTCCATCCATCCATCCATCATCTAAACCACTTATCCTTCTGGGTCACGGTGGGGTGCTGGAGCCTATCCCAGCTGTCATTGGGCGGAAGACATATAGAGGAACTGATCAAATTAACTATTGTGGGAAATAGAAAATGATGTATGGGAGGTCTGTCTGAAGAATATACATAATTGCTCAAAAAATGTAAGACATAATTTAGTCCAGTTTAAAACCCTGCATAGAATATACCTTTGTAAAACTAAACTTCACAAGGTTTTTCCACATATTTCCCCTTTGTGTAACAAATGTAATACAATGGAAGGTACACTGATACATTCATTATGGGCATGTAGCAAAATACATACATTTTGGGGCAGTATATTTAATTGCCGGTCAGGAGCATTTGGAAGGGACTGGAAACCTAATCCACTTTGGGCTGTGTTGGGAACAACTAATGACTTGGTATCCGTGGAGAAACATGAACGGCAGGCCATTCTTTTTATTATGGTCAGAACCAACATATGAAATGTGAATAAAGGAACTAATCAATGTATTGCATATGGAGAAACTGCAATTTTTTAATAATGAACAGTTAGAGCAGTTTGATAAAATATGGGGTCCTCTGTTTGCCTTTTTTGAAAAAGGACCAAGACTAACCTGGTTCAAGTTGTGTAATACCTATTGTTGTATGTAAGTGTATGTTTAAAAGCTGACACCCTGGATTGTAAGTACATCATACAGTAAATGTGAGAGAGTATTCTATAACAATGTGAAGGTGGGAGAGAACGTTCTAGAATAGTGGATGGAGGACCACATTTGAGAACCATTTGAATGGAGAAAACATTGAAGAACAATGCAAAGAGCGCAAAGCGTAGATCAGTGTGAATGAGGGAGAAAAATATAGAACAGCGGAAGGGGGGGGACATTCTAGAATGGTGTAGATTGAGGAGAACATTCTAGAACCATTTGAATAGGGGAAAATGTTCAAGAACAGTGTGAAGAGGGGAGAACAGTGTGAATTAGGGAGAAAATCATAGAGCAGCGTGAAGAGGGGAGGACATTCTAAAATGATGTAGACTGAGGAGAACATTCTAGAACCATTTGAGTAGAGGAAAACATTTAAGAACAGTGTGAAGAGGGCAGAACATTTTAGAACTGCATGAATTGGGAAAAACATTCTAGTAAAGAAACCGGACCATATTATGAAAAAATCCTCACATTTTTTATATAAAAGAGTTTTATATGATATGTAAAAATTTTAATGTTTGAAAAGTACTGTTCAGTTCACTCACACTGTTCAGTCCATATATGCAAACAAAACTGCCAAAATGGCCTGTTTTGTATTGATTGTTTTTGTGATGCAATGAAAATCAACACATTTAATGCAGTTTCATACAGCTGGAAATTCAGCATACAGCAGCTTGGCTCTACTAGTTCATGTTGAAGTTGTAAAGCATGCTTCAGCCTGGACTTTCTGAATTAGGAACAATACATTTGGGTTACTTACATTTTCGTGAGTAATGTTATTGAGTTAGTGATGTTGCTGCTCATGTTGAACAGGTGATGCACAGCACCACTAAGAAGGTGATGGTGGTGAAGATTTATAAGAATGATGTGGACCAGGACAGCATCGTGAGAGAGATCAGCCTCCTGCAGAAACTCTCCCACCCAAACATAGTGAGGTGAGCCGCCTCCACACTGACACTTCATCGTACCACTCTGCCCCCCCGCTGCCATCGCACTCACAACACCTCCTCAGCACACACACACACACACACACACACACAAACACACGCAGTGAACTCGTTCTAACTGCCTGATTTAATGAAGTCTGCATGTTTTGTCCATTTGGTAGTACATGTTGTGACTGTGATCTTTGGCTTTCGACTTTAAAAAAAAACACGCAACCCTTCAAAGTCACCATTATCACCAGCAACAATAAAAGTGTGGTGTAATGCAGAATGAATTATTTCTCTCAGAACAAAGTATGAAATCAAAAGTTTCATTCAATACCACAGTTGTGTTCATAAGCAGAAGAGGAGGTATTTTATTGTGCTTTGAATTGGATTTTGAACTTGCTCTCACATATATGCCTCATTCTCTTTGGAATGCACTCGTATCTTGAAACTAAAGCCACTTTGAGTCTGTGACAAATTTTATTACAGATATAAAACAAGATGAGGATTAAACATTCTGTTGATATTTCTGTTATGTATACTGTCATGTTTCTACAGTCAATGTATCTGAGTGGAGAGCCATTAGAAAGTTTGTGGAGGTAAAGGGATCAACAGTAATATAACATCGCTGTCTGAACAAAAGCTTGTATCTCTATTTTTTTTGTATCTATATTTCTTGACAAAAAAAGTAGCTCTTCTTTACTTTATGTCAAGACAAATGGACCAATAGAAATGAAAAATGACTTTTTTTCAATGAAATTTGTTACACTAATTTAGATTGAAACTTGACAAGGTTTTTTCCTTCTCCTGTAAAGTTGTCATTTTGGAGATACAAGGTTTTGTTCGGACATTAACAGTAACAGTAACCCAGCTGCACTATTGTGTATGGGTGGAATAATTTCAAAATTCTTAAAAATTGTTTAAAAAATTAAAACATTAACAATTTAACATAATATGATATACTGGTGTTTTTTCAAACAGCAGGAATAAGGAATGCCTGAAAATGCCACATGTTAATATGTTAATGTTTATATTTTCAGTTTATTAGACCATTCTATATTATAATAGAGTACAACATATTGACACAATCTAATATGCTCCCATGAGGAGTGTGCTTTTCCTGTCTGCTTTCAATGCTTAGGTAAAGAAGAAGCAGTATTTTTCACAAGAAGGAGGATCTGCCCTCATTGTGGGCTGACTTGTTTAGTTTTATTGTATCTGAATGATGTGTTGCATTGTTACACTCCTAGAATTGTGGCATTCTTGTGCACCATTTTGCATTACTGTGAATAATAAAACTCCTTTAATCTCTTTACTGAAGGTATCTTGGGATTTGTGTGAAAGAAGATAAGCTATACCCAATTCTTGAGGTGAGTTTTTTTTTGTTAACTAATTAAAGACTTTCCTGTAATTACACATATGATTATATTCTGTGTTTTCATTGTTCAGAATCTTCCATAAATTATTGCATACACACAAACAAATAGCATGAAAGTGGTTAACCACTTAAGTACTATTTAGATTTACTTGATCCAGAGCAGTAATTTAGCACTGGGAGAAAAGTTACTGATGTCTCATAGCTGAAAAGTTATGTAAAACTCTAGTACAAAGTATTTGTATTCAGTGAATTACATAAACAAATGAATTATTATACTGGTCCCTCTATCAGCAGAACCTATGTGGACCTTGTTAAAACTGAGAGAGGACTGATAATCTAACTTAAATATGAAAGTATCTCATATGAAAAACTCTAGGTCAGGGGTCGGCAACATGAGGCTCCAGAGCCACATTCGACTCTTTTACTGCGCTGTTGTGGCTCCACAGCAGAGTTAGATGTTTAGGTAAAAATAAAATAATCCTCCTTTGCAGTAAAATAAAGCTCTGCTGATCGTTCAACACAGTTTTAACAGTAAATGGTCTCAAATGATGGAGTTAATGTATAACTGCTAATTTACCAACTTTTGACCCTGAAGGTTGGTGTGCAGACTGTTGGTCACCATAGCAACACAGACAACAGTCGCACCTAACTAGTAGCTAATGAAAAGGCAAAGAGAAAGATTTAAGACGAACATTGATAATTTGGAGACGAATGGACTTATTTGTATTTATAAGTGCTCCAGCTGGTTTCCTGATATATTTAATCTGCATTGAGAAAATGTCAAACACTAAAAGTCGTGAAGCTCTCAGCTTCTCATTTGCCAGTTTTCTATTGAATTTTACTATTCCACCTTAAGCGGTGCAGCAGTTACATTTTATACTAAAATATTGCTTTATAAATACTTTATCCAATGCTTATGCATGTGTCATGAAGTCCCTATGTAGGTAGCCTTTAAATAAAACTCTACTGCAAAACCTTCGTAAGTGTACTCTTATTACACCACTGCTGATTTGTGGTGTATTGTACTTATCGGACTGGCTGTTTTACTTTATTTCAAACAAATCTTGGAAAGACTCCAGCAGTGTTGGGTTGACTTGCTGTATTTTAAACGTTCAGAGTCATTTTTAGTTTTGCATAAGCATTTGTAACATGCCCCAGCAGCCTTGCTTAGAGCCTCTTTTCTGTTCTCTGGTTGAGCTGAGGTCAGCAGGAGTGTGTGCGTGTTTCATAATGTCCTGCTCCTCTCCCACTCTCAGTATGTGAGCGGAGGCTGTCTGGAGGAGCTGCTGGCCAGGGATGACATCACGCTGTGTTGGAGGGAGAAGGTAGAGCTGGCCTGTGACATCAGCAGAGGAATGGCTTACCTTCATTACAAGAATATTTACCACAGAGACCTCAATTCCAAGGTGAGAACATCACAGCATTTATATGAGTCTGAAAGATGGATAATGAAGTCTGAGAAAGAATTGCAATGTCAATGTAAGAAGAGGTGAGTGATAGGGCAACAATATAACACCAGGATTCTGCAAGATCGTACTGTAATCATATACTGTTTGCATCACAAACTATAGATTTTCTGAGGTTTAATATGTAGGAACCATGAGTACAATGACTTTATGCAGCATTTCACATACTACACTGCACCAAATCCAACTAAACAGGCCTTATTATGCTCTATTATAATGAAATAGTTGGTCAGTATTCTTTAAGTACTAACAATATCCATGTTATGCTCAGGAAAGCATATTGTGAAATAATTTATCATGATAATTATCATATTGCCCACCCCTAGTGGCAAGACACACATAAATTAGAATATTGTAATGGCTGTTTAGGTGAAGGACTGTATGTGCATTAAAGTATGCTAGAATAATTTCTTGCCTTATTACTTTCATTTTTGTACACTATTCAAATGTAATTACATATGTGTATGTATTTATATATTTACATTTTGATTAGAGATTGCATCTGCATTTCTGACCTTTTCAGTTTGTTTCAATGTGTTTATTGGCATTTATTCTAATGATATATGCTATGTCCACCAACAAAACACACTTATTGCTGAGATAAATGGATTTAGAACTTTTGCACAGCTAGGTAAATGTTGGTAAAAGTTGACATTTCCTGTGCAGATACAGTGTAAGTGCTCTCGTAATGTAGGTAACCACACACCTCCTGCTTCAATCAGTAGTCTTGCTGGAAAGACAGCAGTTCCTGCAAATATAATTACCCTCACCCTGTTACACGTGTAATTATCTTAGAAAAAATTAGCTGCTACAACTATACAGAAACATTTGTTTAATTACATAAGTAAAAACTGAGGTTGTTGCATGTGTGTATTTACATAGTCTATACTTCTGCAATCCATTTGTAGCAGTGAAAACATCACCAGTAGTTACACTGTTGTTTCATGTTGTTTCATTGTTAGTGTGTAACTACACAGTTATTAGTGACAACATAAAGTGGGACCCAAATAGTAATAAAATATCTCCTCTTCCAGTTATGAACACAAATGTGGAATTGATTGAAAATTTGCTTGCTTCAATGAGCTACTAATTAGAACTGTTAATATCAAAATACCATGTTTGTTGTGATGTTAACTGTGACATCTAAGGATTAATGTCATCATTAATACTTAACATGCTCCATAGAGAGATACTTTATTACCATAAGAGGTTTTTTCCATTTTGCTTTTTTTCTCCAGCTGGACCTTGTTTGTGCCAGCTCGGTCCAAGCATTCCTATGAGCATAGCACAGATTCCACTGATTGACAAGCACTGAAGGAGTGTTTTGTTTGTGTTAAGCCTCTTTTTATATAGCTTCAAAAAATGTGTACAGCATTCTTTCTCTTCGTTATGGAAATTTACACCAGTTTTTTGTTTCTGGTACATCTGGTATGGCAGTTGTGTGAGGCTCAAGAATAATTTTGAGTTAATTGATCTGATGATATGAGGATCTTCTTACATTTTAATTTTAGGGATGAGTATCATTAGGATATTATCGATACTGATATTGCTACTGATACTGCTCATCGATACTGATACTACTTTCCATAAATTGGTGCAAAAAATTAAAGACATGACATGAGAAGATGTGAAAAGAGTTAAAGAATTCAGAATGGAAAGATGTGAAAAGGCTGTGGTCATCTCCCTACAGTTGAAAATATTAACAACCATAAGCAATACACAATTAGTTAGCCCTGGTTGTCAGGATAGCTCACACTAAATTCAAACTTGGGCAACCTAGCAGGTAGCGATGTATGCTTTGCTAGTTATCGACTTTTAATTCAGCACAGACTCAGCTTAATATTACTACTTGCCCCTTATAAGCTGATTTTGGCTATCAAAACTTCTAATTATCCTTTTTAACATTGGAATATTTTCTAATAAAGACATTTAGACTATCAAACTATTCAACCTGTAGCTTTAACACAAGGCTGAAGTTGGCTTCCTATCTGCTAGCTTCTTGTATGAATTTTCCTGTTCCACCTTAAATAGGGCAGCAGTTATTGTAAGGTCTAAGGTGCCAGCACCATTTAAGGTGGAACGGGAAAATTGGAAGAAGAAGCTCTAACTTCAGCTTTATAGTTTGAAGCTGATAGGATTTTTGGATAAGGTGATTCGAACTATCCTGCCTAGAGCTTTTTGTAGGGAACTACCTTTAACTCCCTGTAAATATGTGCAGTGGTAGTATGACAAGACAACACAATTCTTGTTTTCCCCCAATTTAGGTGCGTCCAATTCCACCTACTAGTTAGGACTTCTCCAATCACACGACACCACAAGCGCTAGGAGGGGGAAAGCTAGCACAAGCTTCCTTCAAGACCTGTGAAGCGCAACTGCATGTTTTATTACTGCTGCTAAAGCGTAGACATCGTCATTGGATAGCTGAACGCATTCGGAGGAAAGCGCCAACCCCCCATTCTGCTACGTAAGCGAACAGATGCCTGTGCTAGCATCACGCTGAGTGATGGGGGGAGACGGGGGGCCATCCTCCCCCCCTAGAAAGCGAGGCCAATTGTGCTCTCTTGGACTCCCGGCCACGGATGGCTGTAATATCATCAGGGATCGAACTCGTGATCTCCTGATGATAGACTGTTTTAGATGATAGGACCCTTACATGGTTGCACCACTCAGGAGCCAAAACAACACAACTCTAAGGGTGTATAGGTGCAGCTAAAGCAAATGTGCCGCGCTGCTTCAGATTTATAGAATATTGTATTTGTAAGTGTTTCATGAGCTGGCTGAAAACTGGTCCACAGCACCACCTTTACAGGCAACTACCGTTTTACATATAGTGCATTTAGCTGCATTATCATTAAATTAGTAAAGTGAGCCCATGACGCATGGCGTATTAAATGGTTAAGGTAGTCAGAGGTATGTGAGAGCTTTCATCACACGAAGCAGAGCGCCTCTCCCGTTGATCCAGTCTAGCACCAACCGTTTGAAAATGCTTGCTGTGTACAATGAATTAACATTACATAAATGCCAATAGCAGCACCGTTTGTCCAGGAGCTTATCGATATTTCAGTACTGACCAGTCAGGAACTGGTGCCACTTTAGTACTGGTTCTCGATACCCATCCCTATTCAATATATAGAAAAACAGTCAAATATAGAAAAAAATTACTTAGATTTTGGAGTATACTGAAGACAACAATATATAAACTTAACAATATATTTTAGTTCATACGGAGCGGTCGTACTGAAATGAGTCTGCGTTGTTTAGTCCTGAAGCGGTCAGTGAAGGTGCAGTGGTTTGGAGCAGAGAGTTGCAGTCACATTTCAAATGCTGAACACTGAAATGAGTGTCTAGACAGCTTTAACTGTCCTGGTTGCCAGGCTGCAGCAGAGAGCAGGCAGAACCTTCTGTTTGTGGAGAGGAGAGATGGGGAGGTCAGTCATTATTATGCTAATGCACAGCTCCTGTACACAAGATTTAACCTGCTATAAACTCACACACACATGCACATTCTCATTCTCAGTGTCTTTCTTCCGTATGTTTATATATATGCAAACCAGGGCTGTGCGATTAATCGTATTGTCAGGGATAATGCGTTATAAGATTCTGCAATTAACACAGTGTTAAGTGCAGCAATGGCAGAACGGATCAAGCTACAGTAATGACACTCTGCTAGAAAGATGCAACAATGTTGGCCGTAATGTAGCATTAGGAATCCGTCTCTGGACTCAAATCCCAGTCTCCTACATGAAAATGACAATCATTCTGCTATACAGTCAGTTACAAGTCAGACACATCATCTAACTGCTAACCTACATGTACATATATTTATGTGTGTGTGTGTGTGTGTGTACAGAGAGAGAGAGAAAGTTGCTGTCATTTTTTTCCCTATTTTTCCAGTGGTTACAATATGTACTCAAAAATGTCTTATTTATGTGCTTTACAGTTTGCTTAAAGCAGGTTAATTACACAACACATAAAATCTGATTGCACACTGAAAGTATTTTCATAATTTTTCACTTCTAATGTCGTCATTCCTATTGCCAACATCTTTATCAGCATGTTCACAACTTGAAGCCTTAACGCAAACACACACTTAAGCCCCTTTTGCACATGCACTCTTTCCCAGGAATTTAACAGTAATTAAATGGTAAGGGGCTTAAACGTGAACTCAAGCTGGAGTCCAAAACCTGCTCGAGTTGACATGGCATTGATTGATGTTTATTTGTTTAATTTTGCGAGGTGAAAAGTAGTGGGAGTGAGTTTTGAGTATGAGTTCAGAGAGAAGCAGCAAAAATCGTCCATGCACACATGGCTGTTTCTGTGTAAAAGTACGCATCTCTGTAAAATAGCATTTAAGGGATGCATGTGTGAATACACTCACAGGCACACTTATCCACACTCTCACCCTCTTTCTAATACACCTGTATGCAAACACACAATTCACAGAGACCCGTCCCATCAAAGTGCCTATCAATCATTTATTCACTTACCCTGTTCATTTCCCCACTTCCAAACACACACTCGTATACTCTTAAGCCCACTCAGCTAAACCTGCACTTACACTCACCCACACACTGCAGGGCCTGTCGTCTCTCAGTGATTGAATCAGAGCAGTCCTGTACTGTGCCGCTGTAGATAAAAATGCTCTGTACTGTACAGGCTTTGCTCTAGTTTGCCCTGTTGTTGTTGCTGTGAAGGCACACTGAACCAGGGTAAGATTCCGTTCCGCTGGCGGCAGGTCAGTACAGTGATATGTCGATGGCCACTGTATATTTAAAATGCAGAGAAGGGATTTTGTTTCTGTCCCTGACGTGTGTGGACAGAAAAGCACGCACACCCCATTGAGACCCCTCTCGTGTTCCAGAGCCTTTAGATCAGAAGCACCATTTTTCCCTCTGTGTGTGGTCAGAATGTAACTGGGTGGAGGCCGGTGGTGTCTCTTATTCTCCAGTCTTCCCTCTAATTACAGAGACTCATGAAGAGAGGGTGGGATGTGTACTAGTTTAATGAAAGACCAGCTGCATCCTTTTTCTGCCTCTTTCTTATGCATTTGTTTACATCACTCAACTGTGCCAGAAGGGATGCGCCAGAGGCATTTTAAGTGGTGCTGAAATTTTATGTACCATGTATGTGATGTACACAGCGGCATCATACTAAATGCCTTGCCGCATTTTTAATTTAACTAATTTGCATGAAACAGAACGTGTTTTGAGATCATGATTAGTCATTCCACAAGATCAGTGCCAAATGAGCCTGTTAATTTACATATTTTTATGTCTGGAAATCAGTTTTTTCTGTCCTGCACAATTTCAATTCTACATACCGGTCTAACCAAGTGGTCTGTCACACTGCCAGTTATCAAGCTTAGACCTTCTAACATTCATTTTTCAACAATGACTTTTCTTTGATTGATGCAAAAAGTTAACAAAAAGATGTTTCTCTATTTCATGTAATGAGGTGGACCCTGACAAAATTGGAGAAACAACAAATTGTTGAATTAAAGCAAAATGTATCAATTTTTCGAATGTGGCTCCTCTGAAGGTTTAAAGAGGAATTCCATAATTTTTTTTAAACTGCATAATTCAATTGCTAAGCTGTGAACAAATTCATTGAGAGTGGTTTGATGTGACATGCTCTGTTCTAGAGAAGCAGATCTCTGTAGAGTGATGGTGATAGGAAACAGGGTTCACAATGTCTACAAAACAGATGTAGCCTTTCCATTTACTATTCAAAATCTCCAGTGAACCTACACGTCTTCCATTGTTATATGTAATGTTGATGATGGTCAACTAGTGATAAATCTAAAGAAAAAAGTTTCTTTGGGTACTGTTTTGCCCAACATCACAGCATCCACCACAGAATAACTTGCATGACTACATCAAACAACCATGAATGTGACTGGCTAATACAAATTATGAAATATATCCACCATCATTCAAAAGTTTGGAATCACTTGTTACGTATCATTTGTGTTATATAAAATAACATTCAATACAGCAAAAAACTTTTGGTTTAAATCATGTAAAATTAACACCAAAGAGTATTTTTAGATGTTCTGTTCAGTATTTTAAGGATTTTTATTTATTATATTTGGTAAATTCCATACTATAATAATCTATTTATCTATTTCATCTAGCTATTGTTTTATCTGCCTCAAGACTGAGCAACACTTTAGAATATAAGGCATTCTGTATTTTAAATTTATTACAATTTTATTCTTGATGTTTTTGGTTTGTTTCCTTGGTTGGTTTCATACTGTTAACGAATGAAATTAAACAAAAATATCTCCTCTATAACAAGCACAAATATGTTTGTACTACACTTCCTGTGTTCCTGAGTTTTGCTACATTTAAACTGTGCTGATGTCAGTCACACTAATTTTATGCTTCAATATGGATTTTATTGCTTACATTATTTTTTATACAGCATTTGGACAAGAATCAAATACTTGGAGATTGTCTCTGTCCATCTTGGTGACAAGATGACCCAGGTCAGATGTGTATGATTGACTGGCATTAGTGAGCTGGATATCACCAAGATGTTAAAAGAAACCTCCTAGGTTGGTTTCACATATTTAACTATAAATCAACACTGCCCCCTTATGGTGATCCGATAGTAGCACAACCACATGGAATGAAAAAAACAAATCCTTTTTATTAAATAGGTGGGGGTTTCTGTTATTCCTCATCTTAACCATCCCATTAAATCATAATGCAGGAGCATGGGAGAGAGAAGAGCAGGTGAAACTGCTCCTGACTGCTTTTGCACTGCTCCCTGTGGTGTGAATTTCATTGTATGAAATCTGATCTTGTGTTTGTAGAACTGTCTAATCAGAGTGACCACACGGGGCAGAGAGGCCGTGGTGACAGATTTTGGTCTGGCCAGAGAGGTGGGGGACCTGCCTGCAAACAATCCAGACAGGAAGATGTCTCTGGTAGGCTCTGCGTTCTGGATGGCCCCTGAAATGCTGAGAGGAGAACCATATGACCGCAAGGTACTTTACTCACGATATTAATAATTTGTATTTATATATAATATTTTTCATGCATTAGAATTCAGCTCACAGTGCTTTATAATGATGAAGGCAAATAAAAGCCAGCATAAGAGAAGAAACAGAAGATAGAGGAGGTGAAAACACTGAGAAAAGGAAGGAAAAAGATGTAAAACAAGTTCTCTAAATAAATACATATAAAAATGATAAAGTAATAAAAATAAGTATAAAATATAAGATAATAATGAAATGGGACATCAAGAAATTGTAGCACATAATAAAAACATTTCAAAATCTAAAACAAGGAAATTAAAAATACATATTTGCTTAGAAAAAGTCAATTGATACTGTAAATAAAACTAGAGGAAAGCTAAGGTAAAACATAGGCTGCACTGGAATAGTAATGCACTCAATATCCATTGTTGAAATGTGTACATAATTTCCACATTAATTGGTTATTATTTATAGATTAGTGCAGTGTATATAAAATATATTTTATATCTGTGGAAAAGGTATGCACTTTTCAATCAAGTAGACTGAATGCATTACTTTTTTCAGTAGCACGTCACTGTAGGGCAGTGTTCACAAGGCTACATAACACCTACATAAGCTCATCATGACAACTGATTTATACCCACATAAACATTTATACACACTTACTCCGATAGGCATTGTTTGTGATAAAGGGTGCATTTTCTAACTGATTTTTTTCTTACGGTAGTTTGTGCTGGTTTCATCTTACGATTTAAGATAGGTCACATCATCAGTCTTATGTCACAGTGATATACAAAGTCAGTTGTTATAATTGTGCTGTGCCATTTTGCCCAATAATTGTCATGAATCAAATCAGTGTCAAAAAAAATTGATTTCACTTGACATGGGTGTTTTGTCAACTTAACATCAAAGTTGGCAAAAGCAGCCTTTTGACAGACAATACCGGTTGGCCTTTAAAAATGTTTATTTAGGCTTAAGTCAGTTGTTATGACAAGCTTACGCAGGTGTGCAGCTTCATGAACACTGCACTGCAGTAAAATGTTACCATTTTTCAGTGTGAACCTTGGACATTTTAATTTACTTTATCCAAAAGATAAGGACACTAGTGTAATTGAAACTTTCAATGAGTTTATATTATCTGTGGAAGATTTGTTTTTGATAATATTAGTATTCCGAGCTGTTTCAAAGATGTCATATAAGATACTCTCTCTGCTGTCTTAGCATGATCTTTGCACTGTAATGCTTTCTGGAAACTAGTCTGTGGTGTGTAATCAGACATCAGACTCAGTGTAATTAGTAGCTCTGATTGTGGCTCTGATGAATCAGTTAGTGGTTATCAGACCCTTGGCTGGTATATAAGGAACAATCAGTCCACTGTTAGTATCTCAGGAAGTAGGTCACTGTTAGCACCAGTGTAGTTACGGACTGGTCTGACCTCACGGTGACTGTCTGCGTGTCTCTCTAACTCCAGGTGGACGTCTTTTCTTTTGGAATCATGCTGTGCGAGATACTGGCAAGAATTCCTGCTGACCCAGAAGTGCTGCCCAGAACACGGGTAAATACATCTCACAAACACAGACTTACAGTCATATGCAAAGGTTTGAGCACCCCTGGTCAAATTGCTTGTTTTATTGATTTTTCTAAGTGAAGATAAGTTAACACATCCTCTACACAGAACACACTTTTGCACATTTTAATGCACAGTTACTGTTTATTCGCTCAATTTCAAACAGTGAGAAACAAAATAGAACATAAATAGTGGCCTGTGCAAAAGTTATGGCACATTTTAGATTTTGTTTTTTTCCAGAATTGTGCACTAAAATTGTTTGCCATTTCACTTTGTTCCCTACAGAGTATGTATTAAATTATTTTCATTTAGAAAATAAAATGCAATGTGACTTGTATGTTCAAATGTTTGCATATGACTATGTACTGGGAAGTAAAAATGGATTATATGCAGTGACGAAGAGCAAAAAGGTACATGTACTTTGTTACTGTACTTAGGTATTTTCTTCTAAGTATCTGTACTTTATTAGAGTATTTGCATTTTTTGAGACTTTTATGTTAACCCCAAAATGTCCTGCGTTTCTCTCCACTACTTTCTGCATGAGTGTATCATCACTCGTTACCCTGAAGTATGAGAAAACTAGATTTTCTAAAATATCCAAAAGAATATGAATCACTTTCAGACTAAAGCAAACCGATCATAGCACACGTTTCACTAAACTGCTCCTCTAATTACTGATTGTACAATTGTTGCGTAGCAGCTGTAACTCAGCCCAGGCACATCTGACACATTTTCAGAATTTAACAATTCATAACATTTTGTGGGGAATTTTTAAATGAGATATCTGATTTTACAGGAGACTGGAGGCGGGGGGGGAGTGGGGGGAGTGAAATTGTACCATTTTCCTAATCCTACAGACACAAAAGGAGAGGTGGATTAAATGTTTACATTTAGTCATTTAGCAGATAGATTACCCAGTGTGGAAGACCACACACTGAGTTACTCTAAAATAGAAAATTGTTTCTGTGTAAATTGTTTATCATTAATAACACTTTTTTTTAAAAAAACAAGAAAGTTTGCCTATTTTAAAACCCCATTTTTCATGTCAGCCATACAGGTCTTAATAGATACTGTTCATTTTGTACTTTAACTTAAGTAGAAATATAATGTTTACATAACATTTTACATAAAATGAAAAAAGATTTCTACTTTCACTTGAGTAATATTTTACAATGCATATGTCTGTTTTCACTCAAGTGCAGGATTGGTGTACTTCATCCACCACTGCATATATGTTTTACTTATTTATTTTCCATTTGCATACTTATATGTCCATGTGTTCGAGATAACCTCAAATGAGTAAAAAAGACAAATAATGTACTTTAGTGCAAGTTAAGGTAACAGGACTTTATTGCGAACCATTTTGGGCCATTGCTATTGGACAATTCTTCATAAAATGTTTATACATATTAAAGGGTGGCCAACATTTTTAAATGGTGTCAAAAATAAAAAATGAAGGATTTCATATGACATCGACAATAATAAAGAAACTTATATTTGACTGAGTTGTCCAACTGTGCCATGTGCAAATGAAGGGAATGTCAGAGAGGGTGACTGGCCACTAATATTAATTAATGATTAATAGACATTAATATGGCCATTCTTGCATCATTAGGATTGATGGACAGCAAGCTCTGTTCAGGTTGGAGAAGAGGCAGATAAAGGGAATTATCTCTGGGGTATTTCCACTAATCAGTAGTGATATATTCACAGCTTTCATGCATTGTGTTCATCACCATATGAATTAATGACATTTCTGTCACCCTTCATTATCGCTGTAAGTGCTGAAGCAGCTTCTCAGGACATTGAGCAGTTATGTAGCATTCCGACTGTGTGAAGTCCTGAATTATACATATCAGCACACATACAAAGATGATACTGTTGATGTCCTTCCATGTCTTGCGTGACTAATTCAGACGAGACAGAAGTTTGGTTGTTTTATTAAAAGTACCTGCTGGTATACAGCAGTGTGTTAACACCAGTAGGTGCGAGTGTAAACAGTTCAGTAATGCAAGGGTCCTGCTGCTCCCCCTGCAGGACTACGGGCTGGATGTTGAAGCATTCAGTGAGTTGGTGCAGGGCTGTCCACAGCGGGTGCTCGAGCTGTCTGCCAGCTGCTGCCTGGTAAGTAGGAGAAACAGCAGGGAGGAGTTAATATTGAAAACTGTGTACTGTGTGGAAAAGTGGATTTCATTGCATTACGCTGCATAGAATGTGGCACACTATTCTTAGCTATGTGCTTGTTATTGTTATGTACCTCCTTTAACCCTTAAGTCCAGAGTTAGAGCATTATAGAGACACTATAAAGCACAAATTTTGTTTCATGTTTTGTAACCTTGAATGCTGTAATATACAGGTAATGGAAGCAATAACATGTTAGTATTGGTGCTATACATAAAGCACATTTTCAGCCATTTTGTATTTTAGCTGTATTAAAAAATGTGTTGAATAAGACTCCACTTTATCGCATTAAATTTAACTATGAATTGTGTGAATCATTACAACCCTAATAAAGGCTTAATCCAGCAAGTATCAGTCATAAAGGGATACTTTTGTCCATTTTGATGCCATTTCACCTGAGGAGGATTTATGACTTATTGGAATAAGCCTTTGTAAAGGTCTATATGTGTCTATGTCTGGTGCAATGAAAGGCTTATGTAGATATATTAAAGTAATCAGCATTACTTTATATCCAATATACTTGATATCCAAAGCATATACTTGATATCCAAAGCATGGTGTTAGCAAGCGACTTGAGTTTATCACAGGTAAAGGTTTTAATAACACCCTTACCTGTGATAAATTCAAGTGGCTTGCTAACACCATGCTTTGGATATTACCTGTGACAACTGCAGCTTCTATGGGTTATTCTCTTTCTGTGGCTTCCACAAAAGGTGAAATGTTGCACAACCAACTGTGACCCCAAACCTTTACTTGCAGATGGACGCATATCGGCGGCCATCGTTCTCTGAGCTGCTGGATGAGCTGGAGGACATAGCAGAGAGCCTGGAGCCACCAGATTCTCTGCTGACCACAGGGTGAGGGCGAAGCTTTTAAGCTCTCAAATGACATTCCCAGCCTAAAGGACTTTATGGAGCTGCCCGCCGGTGTGCCTGCAGTGGTGGACCATAACAAGCGTGATATGGTCAGAGGAACAACTACTTCAACTCTCTTGCTATGAAGGACACGACCAGTAAAGATCATTTCAATGCTATGAATGCCATGTCTGCCGTGAACGTGTGGCTCAGGCCCCGGTACAGCTTTTGCTTTCTTTTTCCCTTTATGAAACCTTTCTTTGGAGGGACCACATTGTTTTAGTGACAATGGGCTTTATTCGAAGACCAAAGTCAAACAGGACCAACTCCTGATTGCTCCCATCTGTGGAAGTCAGGCTAATCTAGGTTTACTCCTAGTGTAATTTAACATTGACTGGAATTAAGAAGTTTAACCTTTGCAGAAGTTGCACAGTGATTTGGAGTAAAATACCCAGGCATTCTTTTACTTCAGGGTTTAAAATGCACCCTAAATGTGGGAGAATACTGGGTATAAAGTTGTATAGACGAGGTGACCTGTGTTGGAAAGATGTGTGCGTGTGAGTGAGTTATTTTTCTACTTTTATACACTACATTTTATTCCCCTAGAAAGCTTGCACATGCTTGCTGTCCTTCACTTTCAGCCTGTTTGTTCTGGATTATCTTCCAATCAGCAGGTATAACAGTCCAGTTTTCCATGAAGACAGCTGTGCTACATGCATTGGGGGAGTTTACACAAGCAGCGTAAATGTAACTGTAGCTGAGTCAAACTTCAGTATGTTCTTTCAAAGATTTGACACCAGTTGGACAACTATAGCCTCCTGGAAACCCTTCTCATCACTTGGAGGAAACAGTTAGTCTGGCACTTGAATGAATGCTCTCTCAGGATTCACAGAGTACATGAATATTCCTGTACCTTTGTTAGTCCCTGTGTTCTGTCCTTGTACATTGATTTGTCTTAGTCTGTCTTAGAATGTCTTTGTTTTAGCATTTCTATACTAGAATATATTTTGTTTACTGTATCAAATCAAGCTGTTTATATTCCTGATTCTAATTGTTTATATAGTGTTTGGTAACACATTTTGCAAAATTACTTGATTGACATAGATTGGTAGATTGTGAAATAAAGAACTTTAACTAAGTCCTGTGCTGTAATTTGCAGTAATTTAACCTTGTCAGGATGTGAAGTCATACCGTAATATATGCACTCGCTGGCAACTTTATTAGAAACCCCTGTATGTCTATTTGTCGTGCAGTTATCAAATGAGCCAATTGCGTGGCAACAGTGCAGTGCATAAAATTAAGCAGACATGGGTCAAGATAGGGTCAGAATTTGACATAAACAGCATGAACCCAATCTGACTTACATTTACAGCATTTGGCAGACACCCTTATCCAGAGCAACTTAGAATTTGATCAGTTTACAAAAGTAGGCAAAGGTAGTGTTAGGAGTCTTGCCTGAGGACTCTTACTGGTATAATGAAGGGTTCTATACCAATAAGAGAGGCTGCACGAAGAACTAAATGAAGGGGTGCCAATAGTTGTTCAGATTTGAGAAAAATATTTATTTTCTGGTAAGATTTAGGGTTTTTTTTTAATTATTGTACTTCAGAAAGGTTAGATTTTTGTGAATATTTTGAATGAAATTAAAAGGGTAAGTTAACAATGTTTTTAACAGTCTGTTTTGCTCATGTTTACCAGGGGTGCCAATATTTGTGGAGGGCACTGTATATAAGTAATAATTTGTTCCATATATATTTCATATATACAGTACTGTACTAAAGTCAAAGATCACCCGTAATATATATTAGATTTCCAGTCAAAATGGCCATTATGTTAAGTTATTCATTTTTTAATTGTGTCAGGGAAAAAAATCTTTTAATTATTTTTAAATAATTAAAATGTTAGGAAAGTTAGGATAATGTATCCTACAAAGTCAGGACATTTTTGCCCTGTAAATGTACAAAAAAAGGCAAATACTAACCTGTCCAAGGTCTATTCTCCAACCTTTGGTTATTTGACCATAATTACTCTGGAAATGAAACATTAAATTGCTGCTCACATCTCACATTAGCCTTCAGGCTTCAGTTCTGAAAGCAGAGACCTTTGGGCTCAGCTGAAAGGCTTTAGGATAAGGGCACTTGTGGAAATAGAGTTTGATTTGTAGTGAATTACAGTCATGACTGCATGAGAGTGGAGATATTTGTATGCTGTCTCAGCTCTGCTTTGCTGCTTTAATACTGGATCTTACATTACTGGCTGTGTTTAGTCTGTAATTGAGGTTTCTATGAGGCCACAGATACACTGCTCTGTCGATGGCACACATCTGAAGATAGATTGGAGTTGCTGAACCCCATAGGATGAGAGTCATGGTCTGGATGACATGACTGTCAGTTAATTGATGAATGTGGAGCAGAAAAATCAATTTGGAGGCCACCAGCAGTTCGAAATCCCCAGAGAAAACATGGCAATAAAAAACAGCTACGAGTTATGATGAAGAATTTACAATGAGAAGAAAACACATTTCATTTAAGAGGTACATGCCAAAGGTAGCACTCTCATAGAAAAGTCAGATATATTTCACATGTGAATTGTGCAAAAACCATGTATGTACAATATTTTGTTTATACAATAACAGTTTCAATCTGAGATGTGCAAAAATCGTATATGTTTATACGCATGTGAAATTCATATGACTTTTCTATTAGTGTTTTATTAAAAATTTGTGTAAACGTGTTCTTTTTCAGCACTCAAACCTGGGAATGTAATTACACCATACATATTCAAAAGTATTCAAACACCCCTTCTATTTAGTGAATTCAGCTCTTTAGTGTGTACCCATTGCTGACATAGGCATTCAACTGCACACATACAGCTTATATAATCTACATAGAAAAGCATTGCTAATAGAATGGGACGCTCTGGAGCAGCTGCACATGAGCCTATTTTACCATGTCCAATGCCAAGTGGCAGCTAGAGGGGTATAATGCCCACCAGCATTGGACCGAGCAGCAGTGGAACTGCATTCTCTGGAGTGGTGGAGCTCCATCCGCTACCTTTGGAATTGAGTTGGTGCAGTGTTTGTAATCCAGAACTAATCATCCAACATCAGTACCTGACCTCCCTAATGCTTTCATGGCAAAATGCAACCAAATCCTCACAGCAATGTTCCGATATCTAGTGTGAAGCTTTCTCAGAAGAGTAGAGGCTATTACTGCAGAAAAAGGGGCCAAACTCCTTTTTAATACCCTTTGCTGAATATTTTACAGCAAAATTTTTTTTTGGTCACTCAGTGTTGGACCCAGGATGAGATGTGACGCGTGTTGAACATGGAGGTCCAGCAGATGGGGAATGAAATGATGATGATGAAGGAAAACATGACTATTAAACGTGAAGTTAAAAGCAGGGGTGGATTTGAAGAGTTTCATTCCAAAACCCTGTATATCCTTTTGAAATAATTTGAGTATAAAAAGTTTTTGAAAAGAATAACAGCTGCCATATAATGGAAAACACATTTTGAATTCTCTAGTAAAAGTGGTATTAATCATAATCTAGCATTGATATTTCTTGTATGGGTAAAGCCCAACCCTAACAACATATATTATAAAGAAACAGTAGAAAAAGAAAAAAAGGAAATTCCTGAAAGTGGTTTGTGATGCATCTTGGAATGAAACCCTTCAATTGCTGTTATTTTTATTTGCCACACTGTCTTAGTCCCTTACCAAACCAAAGTTTTATTACACACTTCTATAACTTCAGAAAAGCTCCATTAGTTTGTATTGAAGTCCCTGTAGCAAATGAATAATAAGCCTTTGCATGTAATACGCTTGGAATGTTAAGGGGTTAAAGGAATAGTTTGCCTAAAAAATCTAACAATTTTCCTTTTATCCCATATGTAGTCGATCAGCCAAGACACACTTGGTGTCACATTTTGCTTCTTTAGTTAAGCAATGGAGCTACAAGGCTAATGTAGCTAATAAACACTAAAGCTAGGAGTCACTATTAATCCAAATCTTTTCTGTAAAATACATCCCAAAACTTCTCTCAAACTTTCAGATCATGTCCAGCTCTTAATTAAGACCACACAGACTTGTCAGTGTGGCTTAGGACACAGTATGACAGTATGACATCACTGTGTAGCTGAATGCTGGGAGCAGGCAGTGTTGGAAGTGCTGTGGTAAACAAAAATGTTACAAGGCTGTTAAGAAGCTGAAATACGAATGTTGCTATGTGCAAACTCACACTGCTGCACAATGAACTGACGTCATAAAACTGACTGACTCACCAAAATACACCACACAAACCAGCAAGCTTTGCCAAATGTGCTTATTGAGTCGCTTTGGCAGTTTTAGGCTGCAGTTTGAGTAGCTGGTGTTAACAATGTTTAACAGCAGACTTTTTTTCATGTAATGTCATTTCAGTTGGCAGGAGTGTTAGCTTGTTTGTGAATTTTGGCTGCTAAATGACTTTATAATTAGGATCCAGTGACGCTCAGAGGAAAAACGGGTAACACTTTATTTGGAGTGGTCCTTTGTAGATGATTAATAAACTCTTAACAGATTATCAGTAACACATCAACAACATATCAGTGAAGGAGCAGTAGTAAAGTATCTGAATACATTGAAGTAAATATCTTGTAGAAGGTCTGTTGATACATTACTTACATTAAGTACACTTCATTTCATTTTTGTTGTCTGTGTAGAACCAGAGTTTCTAATATGGGTAGAATAACCACAGAATGACTTTAGAGGTCTATTTACATAAAAGATTTGGGTGTCTATTGACTTCTGCTGTTTGTTAGCAATGTTGGCCTTATAGCTCCAGTGCTAAAGAAGCAAATTATGGACACCAAACATGTCTTGGCTCATTGACTACATCTGGAGTGAGTGGGAAATTGTGTAAATTTGAGTTTTTACAAACCATTCCTTTAAAACATAGTGGAGTCTTACATTTTTACGCACAGTCGGAGGTCACTGACTGCAGTTTTGTTTTCTAAATGGCGAATGTAACTGTGTTTATCTCTTTAAAAGAGGCTTTGACAAACTGCGCAAAGCTCGGTGACAAATTTGCTGTGACAAATGAATTTGCCGATTAATTCCGCTGCTCATTGCTTCGCACAGGCATGAAACTAGAGCACATGTAGAACAGTTAAATAAGACATCACTGTTACTCTTTTGAAGCCTGTGTTATTAGAGTATTGTGTTTGAAAATTGCACGTTTCGCAATACTATAATTACTGCAGCTCCAGGGGCCTCTGACTTGGCTAAGAAAGAACAGAGTTATAAATGGCCTTTTCTGTTTTCCTGAGGGGAAATGGTTCTAGAAAACTGCATGAATGCCCCGCTACTGGGCCTCATGTGGCACGTGTAGGATCAGATTCCTGCATCAGCAGGCATGCTGTGCTGATCGTAGAAGGAACACAGACTCAGATGTCATGTTTAATTGTTTACTGGGGGACTGGTGGAATAAAGGTGGATAAATAGCAACTCAGCAGTGTGAAAAGTGCAGACTTCTGCAGATGCAAAGGTTTTTTTTTTTCTGGGCTCCTTTTCTTTTGACTTAATCTTTCCTTCAGTATTTTCTTTCCTTTGCTGTCACCTGGTCTGCTCATTTAAAAAGAGAACGGCTTTGACCTCGAGAGAGAAAGAAAGAGCTGAGACAACAGAAAGACAGAACAAGAAGGGAAAACAGGTAAAAGGATGCCTGAGGATGCACTCTGAACAGCTTCTACTGACTTTTAAAGCTCAATGGACAAACTGGGCATCACCATCCACATGCATTAAGGGGGCAGCAGGACTATAGCATGGATATAAGATAATCTTTGCTGCTGGAAATGCAGAAAGAGGGACTGGTCATTTTGACTGAAAACCACTGTTAAAGAGCACTGTGAGACAATTTGGACAAATTGCAAAGACAAAAAAGCTGCTCCACGGTACAAAATTGGCAAAGCTAATCCTTCCAGTCCTCTTAACAACTCACTACTTTGCATTCTTAGATATTAAAGCATTAAGACGGATACAGATGATATCAGATGAAGAACTGAGGGCTGTAAACCCCCCAAACCTTATTTGACAGCCTTGATCAAGGCTGATCTACACTCTTAAAAATGGTTCTTCAAGGGTTATTTAGTACAGACAAATGT